CTGTTGCGTAAGTCTGCTTGATAGCGATTGAAGGCATCCAAGAGATCCAAATATTCAGGCAGAGGGTAGCAATAGGCTGCAGCAAGCTTGCTCCCGCATAAATTTCTTGAGTGATGCAAAAACAAAATTTCTCTTGATTGGCTTGAATGCTCTGCTTCTCGTATTTAAGTTCTTCAAAGTTCTTTTTATCCTGAGCTTCTGCTTTCTTTCGATTTCACTGAATGCTTGATCAAGTTCTGCTCGTATAACAGCGAATTATCGATTAATCGCGATTAGAGGGTCAGTGAGGAGGCGGTAAAGGTTCAATATAAATGCTTATTTTAATTCGCTTTCCACGGTCCGTCCTTCCCACCATGTATTGGCTTTTAAATATGAACATTTTTAATGGATACTCAGGCAGTCATAACGATCATCAGTGTGCTGCTGTTCAAACCGTTTGATACCTTTGGCAGTTGTTTAAATGTTTTTCGTATCTATTCCTTGAAGACGGGAATACGAACCCTTGTATGTTATTAGGATAAATAATGGGGACAAAGCATTTCCTAATTTTCGTATTGTATGATAGTGTTAGACTAAAATGGTTAGTTAGTGTAGCGCAAGACTGAAATTGAACCAAACAGACGTTTTGTGGTTTATTACGAAAACACTCTGATAAAGGGAAATATTGATAGAGATTGCTTTTGCTTCTTCTACCCTAACAAGTAACCAAGAGAATGGTCTGTTTAACGCTGCGTGTACAGAGAGTGTGAAAAGTGAAATTATATTTTTGAGGAGTTTATGAAAAGTATCATCTCGAAGGAATATTCATTCTATGTGAGGACATGCATGCATAATGCTTATCTGCCACAACATTTTGCTACTTTTTAAATAAAACATGAAAAACACGGTTTTCGTCTTTTCGCTCTAACACTATCACTATCAGTATCACTAACTAAAATCAAGGGTCAGATAATAATTTATACAAAAGTGTGTTTGCTGCTATTCTCATCCATTTTTTGGGTTACATTTTGAAATTGAAAAATTGAGAAACTTTTAAGGGAACAACATACATACATACATACTCTGGTGAATGTACGTGTCACTTTGTTAAATAAAGTGCTTGTAACTTATTGCAGAACGTGCGTTTCTTCCTTAAGTGTTCGTTCGCTCTTTAAACTTTTAAATATTTATTATATTCGCCTGAATATTGCAAAAGAATTAAATTGTTGCTTCTATTAACCTAAATTAAAACGTGACCTTCCTACGGATCTAGTGTGTCGCGACTTGATTTTAAATCTTGTACGGAAAGCTTTCATTTCATCTAATTTTCGCTGAGCGGTGATAAATATTAGTTTTCATTAGTCATCATTATTTAAGGAAAGTCGAGTAGAAAAAGTACTTTAGTAGGTAGGTATTCCAATGGGCCGATTGGGTTCACTTTCACTTTTTATTTGATCATTTGATCGAATTGATATTCGCTTTAGATTGGAAATTATTTATTTATGTTACCAATTTTGATGGGTCGAATAGTTTTTCGAAGAGCTCGTGCTCTTGTTGTGAAGAAGGTTTCGAGTCGCACTGACTACAATCTGTTTGGCTGTCATTTTGATATGCTAAGCTTCGGCTTGCAGCTGACGAGGAAATCGCAAATCGAAAGTTGAATTTCGGATCTTGCGACATTTATTACATGGATCCAAGTTACATCAATAGTCAGCACATTGTTTCACAAATCATCTCATTCGGCGCTATTGTTGTCGAAGGTCCGTTATGATCGATTTTCGTCTTTTACTTGTCAGACAGCAGCTCTGGCCGCCTTTTGAGTATCATGTAATTGTTGTTTTGCACACGTCTACACAAAAACACAAATAAGATGAAGACATTTGTTCAAGACATCTTGTTTTTTAGTTCGGGACGCTGCACACACTCTTGTTTCTCCCAAGCCACAACGTGAACTGTCCAATGCAGACGTTTTGACGTGCTTTACAATCGCGTAGTAAATTTACTATGTTTGTTATGGAAGGGGGTTACGTAAGTTAAAAGATTGGCAAGGCGTCTGTGCGCAACGTATAATAATATAATTGTGTCATACCACGTGTTAAACCGTTGGTAAAAAACCACGCATTGACAACAGCACCTATGGTAATATATTGTTTTATCGGGCAGCAGTTCGAACATACGAACATGCTGCAAGTGGCAATTCAAGTTCCAAAATTGGAATAATTGTGTAATGACCGATATTTTATTTGAAGTAGTCTCAAGTGGCGAAGACGTCACGTTAGACGATGTGTTCTATTTAAGGGCATAAGGTATTAATGACGTTTCTTCTTTTGTGCTTCTTGCTCACCAATAAGTTATTATGCACACGATACGGTTGATTTTTCCAGATCTTAACTGACTCGATACATAAACTCTTTCATTGAGATTTTAAATTTGAGAAAGCTAGTGCTCGCCGCGTTACTTTATTCAGCAATGATTGTACGCTTTTCAAGAGAGAATGGTTTCGTTGCAATTTTAGTCAATTGCAATAACACGTCCCGGAATGGAGAAGTAATTTCGGGAGCATGTAAGTTGTGTAAAATAGTTAGGGGAAGTTATTAAACAATCCGAGATATTTTTGAATTATTTTGATTCTAACATTTAAGAAATGTGTCAAGCCAAAACACCAGCTCATAAATAAGTTGCTCTACGATGTGTTGTTGTGTTCATCATGTTCACTGGGTATTTTCCCATCCAATCTCTTGACATTATAGATTCCTTCGATTAGAGGTTTCCAGAGAGAGAGAGAGAGAGAGAGAGAGAGAGAGAGAGAGATATCGAGAAGAGAACTGGAAACTTGCTCTTCGAAAATATAGACACAGATTTCTAAACTGCATATATATATATATATCGCTTCTGGATGAGTTCAAATGAATACGCAAATTAAAATACGCTCTAATTATTTGAAACATTTCGTACTACATGTCACCTTATCGACCCTTTGCCCTAATCCTCAAGCCTAAAACTTTGTAATTACGGGTAAACTCTTCTTTTCGGTTTAGTAAATTCAAACAATAGCAATATAAAGAATTTGTTTAATCAATAAACAATAGCAGTAAAATGGTAAATACTTTTGACAACATAATCACATTTCGAAAGCCTTGATAAATAAATCATTTTCTATTTAAGAAATGAATATTTGGATAATAGAGAAAACTACAGTCGCTTCAAGAGAAAGGAATCGCTAATGCCCTTGTGAAGCACGTTTCTTCTATGGGTTGTAAAACATTTTGTTTGCACAAGAACAAGGCAGACTGTGTGACCATATAAACAAGGGAGATTTAGATAGCGCTGATTAGGTTTTATGGCAGGATTCAACTCGATTTCTATTAAAAGTTCTTAGCAAAAATACTTTTAATGTTTGGCGATTGTTAAAAAAATGCCAGAATTTTTCATATTGATAAGTTTTGATTTATGAAAGAAAAAGCGGCAAAATAATTATAAACATTAACATGAAAAACTTATAGAAAAGATCTAAAGTATAATCTAATTACAATCATAGAATTAAAAAAAAACCAATTTATTGCATGGTTACTGAAAGGGAGAAAAACATTTCATAGAGCTAAGTTCATCCAAAAAACTGCTTTGATAGGAGGCAAAGGTGCTTAAAAGTTATCAGAAATATCGCGAAATTCATCGCGTTGGTCAAGGTCCATCAATTCCATACTACAACTCTTCTCCAATTCTATACTTATGCGATCTATGGTAACAAGAGTAAATATTTTTTTTTTTTGTGTTTTATGAAAACTATTACGATTTATTTTTTGCAATTACATTGTCACATCTTCCGTTTGGTTTGATAAGAACTTTTGCTTGGTTAGATTGGTCTTATGATATCGGCGATGAGCAAAGTTTGTTCTAAACCCACTCATCGATTGGGAGGAAATGCTGTCAAACAACGCAAATTTTCCATTTTCTTAACTAAAACTTCTATTTATTGCGATCGATCGAC